CCATCATGTCCAGTCAGAAGTACTGTGAGCAGATATGGCTTTAACAAAGACACAGAAAATATAGTCCTTTTCAATGTCAAAAATTAAACCTGTATAAAAAAGTTTGAAAATTATGCCTGTTACATTAATTAGCAAAATATTTCAGGTTTTGTTGTTGTTTATTTGCTTTCATTGCTGTTGATATTTTAAAAAGTTAATTCTTCCTTGGTTCAAGGGTGAGCCTTATTTCAGTTTTAATTTTTGAAGCCCAGGCATAAGAGAAATTAATTTACTCTGAGCTAAGTATTTATTCTATCAAATATAATTAGTTAACATGGTTTCAATTGACATAATTTCTAGAATCTTTTATTTAGACAGCAGATTTGGAAAGTGTTTATTGCTAGAAAAGGCGACTCATAGGAGGCTAGGTGTGCTAATTATTGTGCTGACTCCAAGGTTGCTGTGTACATCTCACTTCAGGGCATATGAACACTCTTCTGCAAAAGTCCATTTAACCAGTGTGGCTCCAATATAGATAGGGTGGCTGTGTGTGTGTGTGTGTGTGTGTGTGTGTGTGTGTGTGTTTAATGACCATAAATCACAACTCAGCGCTCTTATTTCTTTAACCTGGAACTTCTCTCCCAGCATTATGCTCAGAGGTGCAAACTGTCTGCATGACTATCAACCTGGCTTTCCTTTCTGAAGGCCAAACTCATTGGTTCATGCTTTCAATTGACTGCTTTTGTTTTTATAGAATTTCTTAAGTTTTCTAGTTTTCTACGGAACTTCTCTTTTTACCTAAATTTTTCTGTTAGGGCAGCTGCGTGTGTGGCATAAGCCCTTGCAGTCATAGTATGTGAAAATACCCCCAACTTGGTCAAGCTCTTCAGAGGCAGGGACTCTGTCACATTCCCAGTGCCCGGCATCCACATCCAATAAACAGTGGAATAAGTGGGACAAGGAGACTTGCTCAGTTTACTTCACAGAGTTGATTGATTCACGCCACAGCTGTTTACTCAGTGCCTCTTATCTACCAGGCACTGCTTATCTTGGGCTTCAGGCATAAAGAGGTGAGAAGATAAGCAGGTCCTGCTGGCTCCGCGAAACTCCAGTCACAGGTGTGGGAGGCTGTTTTCACTGCTAGGAACAGAGAGGCTCATTCAGCCACCTCAAGTAGTAGAGAGTTTTTCCTGTAAGGATACTCCAGGATTAAAGAAGACTTGAATCAGTTATACTTCTGGGGGCTGAGGAATTAAGACCCGTCTAGTTTGGGAACTGATGGAATCTCTGGATAGACAAGCGCAAAGACATTCATAGGAACACAGGACTCTCCGTATTGCGCTGGAATGGCGCTTGGGAGAAAGTCAAACCTACATAAACATTTCTGTATTTTTCCTTAGGATTCATTAAGATCTTAGGTTATATCTCCTTAAAATGTTAGGGGCGTTTAGTATATTCTTAAATCATATGTTTCTCCAGGCAGATAATACGTTTGCTATATTTTTCCTTCTATATTCTCCTAATGTGTGTGTGTGTGTGTGTGTGTGTGTGTGTAAATACACTTACAGAATATCTATAGAATAGGAAAATATAAAGGTGGAAACCAAGAGTCTGAGGAAACCTAATTTGACTTAGCACATTTTAAAGCATCATCTATTAACTTTTTTGTGAATTTGTGCTGCTGTTTACTTTGTATATGCAAAAAATGTAATGTTAAGATTGGTAATATTAGCTCATAGTAAACATCAGTCTCATATTTGAATAGGAATTTATAGTTTATGGGCACTTTCAAAGATGTTTATTTATTTTTTCATAAAACCACCCTTGAATTACGGAGGGCAGATCTTACCTTGCATGTTTTTTAAATTGAGGATTTAGGTCAAAGTTACACGATTCATCCAAGCTTTCCGGGAAGGCGATGGGGCCAGCAGTGGAGCCCACGCCTCCTGACCCCAGTCGGCGCCCGGTGGTGCGTCCTTCCTCACCTTCCTCCTGCTCCCCTTCCCTGTACTTGGGTTCCTGGGAGAGAAAACACCAGGCACCCCAGGCCCAGCTGCACATCGCTTTACTTACAGCAGAGTCTCCACCCTGAATCTCAATCTTCTTCCCCATTTTGGTAACTAAACTAAAAAGGCTAGAAAAATTGTGAAGGTTACTGTTAGCTTGCCAAGAGTTGGTACAGGAAACACTTGTGTTTCATCCCTGCAAGTGGATATGAAGGGATATGTTTTGAGGGATTGGAGTTTTGGTAATTTTGTCAAAACCCAGTGTTTACCTTAACTACTGGGTACCACATGCCTGGTGCCCCATCTTCTTAACTGCCCAGTCCTTTGCCCCATTTACTATTGGGAAATGGAAGTCACAGTCATAGAACTTCTCTACGCACAATTTAAACATTGATATAATTTCTAGCAAAAATATAAAGGAGAAATGAGGCAATTAATTTATAGTAAGTAAAATGTGTTTCAGCAGGTATGTGCTTACATGTACACAAGAAGACATAATGCACTTAGATTCTCCCACTTACATGTAGAATCACTAAGAATATGAAAGCTGCAAATATAGTCTGATCAGGTGTATTGTACTGGTTATTCAGATACCACAACTGATACATCAGTGACATGATTTTTTGAAATGATGAGCATCTATTAGTAAAATTCCAAACAAAACAAAAATACCCCCCAAAACCCCCAAATTCCCCCCAACATTGATTTATGTTGTATTTGTGTTGTAGAAAATCTGATGTATATTAAAACTGTATATAATAATCGTATTTATGTATAAACAGTGTTAGAATTTAGGCTCAGGTGGTTATAAATTGACTCGTTTGCCAACATGAATGTCCAGTGGGATATGTGAAAGTAGTGCAGGACAAGAGTTTTGGGATTCATGACAGTTCTCTGTGGTACAGGATTGTCCTGTACGTGGTCTGTCAAATGCCAAGGATGTCTTCTGAATTATTGTGACAGTTGAAAAAATTGCTCCCACAACTTTAGAATACACCTCCTAGATGGTGATGCCACTTCGTTGAAAATCTCTGCCTTAAACACTTCAGAAAGACACAGGAAATTCGCTGGCAGTCCAGTGGTTAGGACTCCATGCTTTCACAGCTGAGGGCTGGGTTCAATCCCTGGTCAGGGAACTAAGATCCAACAAACCGTACAGTGTGGCAAAAAAAAAAAAAAAGGCACAGAAACCTAAGGGACCACAAGGGAACAAAGATGTCCCAACATTTCAAACCAGAAGCTCACAGTGCTGTGATTTCATTGTCTAGAGAGACTAGAGGGGGAGGAGAGTGTCTGCTCTGTTTTTTGCCCCAAGGCTGAGGTATGCTTTTTACCTTCATCTTGCCTTGGGCAGCCAGCAGTATCTATTCTGCATTCCTGTGGTTGAAGTTTCCCCTGTCCTTGTAGCTTGCTGGGGAGGCTTTTTTTAGACTAGGTTCTGAAGGAGTTGTGCAAAAGGGGGTTGAAGGTGTCCAAGAAAACTGATGGAAGTTTTTTTGTGTGTGCGATATATAAAATATAACTAAACTTTACCTGATGAAAGGTTTTTATATAAGTAATTTGTGACTTTGCAGCTATATGGCTGAATTATTTTGGTATATAAGTAGTGGGAATTTTCTCTTGCTCAGTTTAGAGTATATAATTTTGCTATACATTATAGTGTCTTAATAATTGGGTTTGTGAATGATTTCACACAGTTAATCCTTAGTAACAATGGAGATCAATATGGAAGGAAATAATTACCTATTACGTGGTGATTTCAGGCGTCGGTATTTTTGCTTTCTGTTCTTGGTGGGGCAGCATTTTGGTGCTAGAAGTGCCTGCGTTGGAATTCTCAAGCTCTGCCACAGGGTGACTATGTGATCTAAAGCAAACTAATCCATATCTCTGAGCCCTACTGTAAAATGTTGTCATCAGTAACGTTGCGGTGCTGCTACTTAATAGAATGTTGCAAGGATTAGTGTGAAACATCGGACAGTTTTCTTCTAGTACTTATTCCGAAGCATCTATATTTTTTGTGCTCTATAACCATAATGCTGACAAAAATTTTAAGTCTTTTTTTTTACTTGACCTATTTCCATAGTGTAAACAGTCTTTATAATTACTGTTTTAAAAGTATTGAAGTATTAAAAAGTATCATAGTAGACCCATGACATCCTGCTACTAAAATATACAGTGTAATACATGATGTCGTTTCTGTATATAATATGAATTGTAAACTTACCTGCTTCTCTGAAGAAATAAAGTTTTTAAAAACCTAATGTCTTGAGATAACTATAAGGTATCTATAAGCAAAACCAAGAAGAAACAACAGAGCTAAGTTGAATGCAGGGCGTGGGCCAAGGGTGGGCTTACCAGCTGAGCAATGCACTCCCATACACCAGCCTGAAATTGCAGCCTTCCACAGATAGATTTGCGTATCATAGACCTTTGGGTCGCACAAAAATTGTCAAAACCACAAATATACCATCCTTTACCTAATAATGATATCAGTATATGTGAGCATTTTTAGTTTTGTTTCCAAATATTTTCACTGTAAAAATGATGCTATTGAATAGATGTGTGTGTGTGCGCACGGACGTGTGTGTATCTTTTTCCTTCTCTAGTAATACTTCTTTAGGATAAATCTCTTAAAAGTAGAGTTACTCTCTTAAAGGAGACACACCTTTTATGACTCTAGATGTAATTGCCAAATTGTTTACAAAAATATTATATAGATTGGCACTGTCTCAGTTAAGTAGTTTCAGCCACACATAACTAGGGATTTTCATTTAAAGTGTGTTGGGGGGACTAATTTAACAGGTGAAATATTGATTTTAATTTATATTTCTTTGGCTACTAGTGAATTTAAACATTTAATTTTCATATATTAATGGTTTTTCTTCTTGCATTATTTATTCATTCATATCTTTCTCCTATTTAATTTATGGGATCACTTAACAATTTAGGTCGTTTTCAGGGTTTTGGATAAATTAAAATTTTATCTAATCATATTATTCTGCTTTTCTCTTTCAGCTCCAGTAATAAACCGATTTACGAGGCGTGCCTCAGGTAAGTCTGATGATGGATTTTGCTCACTAATGGTGACATTTTTAAAATGGATTGGATAAGAAGGTATGAAAAGAATAATTGCTATAGAGTAATAACTTACTTGTCAGGCATTTTCCCAGAAAACACAACCATCTGATAAAATTAAGAACTAGGAAATAATTGGAAATACACACTGAGTGGCTAAACTTAAAACCACACTGTGCACTGAGGCTAATGGATGGAGACTCTTGCCCCAATTTGTTTATTTCTGCTCTTGATAAATTATTATCTACATGGTTATCTGGTTTGCCAGTCACAGTGTAGAAGTAATTTAGAAGTTGGGTAAAGGACACTCTAGAAACAGGGAGGGATGGAGAGTTTTTAATAAAGGACAGGAAAACTCATAACACTCCGATATAAGACCTTGTCATCATGGGGTCCCATTCAGAATAGGAGCAAATTGCTTTATATTTGTTCCTGCCCCAGGGGCTATTGCTGTCCTAGAGATACCACAGTAACCTTCTGCATATTCACAGTGAGGGCGACCTTAACCATTGACAGGTGCTTAAATTTGGTTCACTATACTGGGCACCACCTGCATTACATTGGTGGGGAAGTAAAGCATTTCTATCCTAAATGAGTTTGGGAGCTGAAATGGATAAACTATTGTTTGGAAAATTCACTTCTGTGAAATACCTTCTTCTCTAAAGATAGAGGACAAGTGAAGTACTACCATGTTTGGTTTGAGAAAATGACTTTCTTTTATATATAACTGGAGTTTTTTGGTTGAAAAACACAAGAAATAATTTCAAACAGATCATCTTTGACATTTATATAATACAAATGAGTCATTTGTTTTATAAAATTACCTAATTTCCATCTGTGCTATATTATTAAATGTGTTTTAAGATTGAGTTTTATTTTTAATTTGTCAGCAGTTACTGGTATAATTTACTCTTATTATGTGGTGACCAGGTCTATAAGGAAAAAGACAGGGATTAGGATAATACGCTGTATTGTGATGGTACCTACTTTATCCTCCTGAGCTTTTTGTAATGTTGAGGCATATCTATTTTTAATGTTGAAAACAAAGTGTAGATTACAATGCCTTTCATGGAATGAGAGATTATGTCAGTAAGGCATCAATCAGACTTTATCCCAGAGTAGAGCTATCAAGAGTGATCATATTCTGGTGTAATATGTAGTCTTTCATGAGCAGTGGTGGAGACAGAGAGGAACAATAAGACAGAATCAGTAGTGAGATATCTTGTCTCTGTGATGTAAGATTCTTTCTGTAGGAACATAGTTAAGACTCTTAGAATAAATTGTCTCCCTTTCTGCCTCAAACTGACATGAGACATTTATTTCTGGGCAAATTCCATTAATATTTGTTTTTCAGTATACTTAGCATCAGTTGAAGGATCAGGGGCTCTAGTATATAGGTTCATTCTGAAACACCCTATTTCACTCCCCACCACCACTGTTGATTCTGTGTCCAGTGTATCTCAGCAAGATTGGCTGCAAATGTAGACAAGCTAGAATGCCGGCAAAGAAATACACGTTCAAGTCAAATGTTGCATTTATTCCAAGTGACAGGCAATAGGAAATGCCAGTGAAAACAACAGGGAGCAGTTCGATTTAAAGAAAAATGAAATGATATCACGTTCAGGAGTCATGTTGTAAAAGCCTTAAAAGGTGTAAATATTGTTACCCTAATAATATAACATGCTGGAAAGCACTATGAGAATGAATTTTGACATTAATTATTGGAAGGAAAAGAGAATTGACTTATGGAATACTCCTGATGGGTCAGGCACTGTGGTAAGCATTTTATACACATTTTCAGTCTTTCAGGCAAGGGAAATAAAATTATATTTACTGCCTTGGATAAGAAGAACAATGGTCTTTGTCTAAAACTTTTTTAACAAAGAAAGCAGAAACTGTCTTAAGACATCTTGGGGAGGAAATTCTACAGTTCTCTTTGTTAATTTAATCTAGTGGTGAAAAGTAATTCAATGCAGTAGTAGACTTCAGTTTCTTTGGAAGTAGCATTTCCTGAACATAAAAATAGACATCTGCTTAAAATAGGGAAATTCGTATCTGATAATTAAAAATATTTCTTAGGATATCTTTTTTTGATAAAGTTTTAATTCAGAAATACTTTTTCTTTTCAGAAGTAAATTGTAACTTTAAATTTGTAATGTGATACCTGTAATTTAAGGGGAAAAAAAATAAGTCAACCAGATATGTAGGATACAAGAGTTTACTTCTTGATACAAGAGTTTATTTCTTACTCGTCTATTTTTTTTTTTAATTTATTTTATTTATTTATTTTTGGCTGCGTTGGGTCTTCCCTGTTGCGCGTGAGCTTTCTCTAGTTGCTGCAAGCGGGGGCGGCTCTTCACTGCGGTGCAGGCTTCTCATTGCTGTGGCTTCTCTTGTTGTGGAGCATGGGCTCTCGGTTCCCGGCATTCAGTAGTTGTGGCGTGCAGGCTCTAGAGCGCAGGCTCAGCAGTTGCGCAGGGCTTAGTTGCTTCGTGGCATGTAGGATCTTCCCGGACCAGGGATCGAACCTGTGTCCCCTGCATTGACAGGTGGATTCTTAACCGCTGTGCCACCAGGGAAGCCCCTTACTTGTCTATTTTTTAATAATAATTACAACAATAAGTACTGTATGTATACATTATAACAATAAATATACTATGTGTAGTGCTAGGTATTCAATTACTTTTGATTGAATGAAAATTTGAAAATAGTGTGTTATGATATATTCCTGATTTGACTGAGTTTCCTACATCTTTGAGGTTTTGGCTTTTGATATTCATACCGCACCTATCAAAAGTAAATATTTCAACCTGAATACTTCAAACAAAACATTTCTCCCTTTTATACATTTTTCTTTTGTTATGGTTCATGAGGATGAGGGCAATGTTTATATTAAGGATGTGTTTAACAAATACATAATTTCAGATCATTTTTATAAATAACACTGTTTCTGCTGAACTCTCCTCATGTGTTTTCAGTGCCTGCCCACAAACCTGTTGGTTTTTATTTCTATAAGTAAAAGGAATCAGTTTCACTCAGTATTTTCAAACAAAATTCATTCCTAGAATATTAAGAGTTTGTAGCGGTTTCAGGGTTTCATAAGTTAGTTTTCCACTTGGTTCAGGAATGAAAGGCATGTAGTGGAGTGTGATTAATGGATTAAAACAGGTGGGCATTTGGAACAGTAGGGTCTTGCTTTATATGGTAGAGAGGATAAGTTCTACAAAACTTATGATGATGATGGGCTTCCTTGGTGGCGCAGTGGTTGAGAGTCCGCCTGCCGATGCAGGGGACACGGGTTCATGCCCCGGTCCGGGAAGATCCCACATGCCGCAGAGCGGCTGGGCCCGTGAGCCATGGCCGCTGAGCCTGCGCGTCCGGAGCCTGTGCTCCGCAATGGGAGAGGCCACAGGAGTGAGAGGCCCGTGTACTAAAAAAAAAAATAAATAAATAAAAAAAATAAAAATAAAAAAAAAAAAACTTATGATGATGAAACTGTCAGATTTTTTTTTTAACATCTTTATTGGAGTATAATTGCTTTACAATGTTGTGTTAGTTTCTGCTTTATAACAAAGTCAATCAGCTATACGTATACATATATCCCCATATCTCTTCCCTCTTGGGTCTCCCTCCCTCCCGCCCTCCCTATCCCTCCCCTCTAGGTGGTCACAAAGCACCGAGCTGATCTCCCTGTGCTATGCAGCTGCTTCCCACTAGCTATCTATTTTACACTTGGTAGTGTATATATATACATGCCACTCTCTCACTTTGTCACAGCTTACCCTTCCCCCTCCCCGTGTCCTCAAGTTCATTCTCTAGTAGATCTGCGTCTTTATTCCCATCCTGCCCCTAGGTTCTTCATGACCTTTTTTTTTTTAGATTCCATATATATGTGTTAGCATACAGTATTTGTTTTTCTCTTTCTGACTTACTTCACTCTGTATGACAGACTCTAGGTCCATCCACCTCACTACACATAACTCAGTTTCCTTTCTTTTTATGGCTGAGTAATATTCCATTGTATATATGTGCCACATCTTCTTTATCCATTCATCTGTCGATGGACACTTAGGTTGCTTCTGTGTCCTGGCTATTGTAAATAGAGCTACGATGAACATTGTGGTACATGACACTTTTTGAATTATGGTTTTCTCAGGGTATATACCCAGTAGTGGAATTGCTGGGCCGTATGGTACTTCTATTTTTAGTTTTTTAAGGAACCTCCATACTGTTTTCCATAGTGGCTGTATCAATTTACATTCCCGCCAACAGTGCAAGAGGGTTCCCTTTTCTCCACACCTTCTCCAGCATTTATTGTTTGTAGATTTTTTGATGATGGCCATTCTGACGGGTGTGAGGTGATATCTCATTGTAGTTTTGATTTGCATTTCTCTAGTGATTAATGATGTTGAGCATTCTTTCATGTGTTTGTTGAAAATCTGTATATATTCTCTGGAGAAATGTCTATTTAAGTCTTCTGCCCATTTTTGGATTGGGTTGTTTGTTTTTTTGATATTGAGCAGCATGAGCTGCTTGTAAATTTTGGAGGTTAATGCTTTGTCAGTTGCTTCGTTTTGTCAGATGTTTTTTGAAATCCAGGTAAATGTATCTCTGGTATCTTCCTGACAGTAGCCCATAACCTTTGTTTGCTTGTTTGTTTACTTATATTTTTATTGAGATATAATTGACATGTAACATTGTGTGTGTTTAAGGTATACAGCATGTTGATTTGATACATTTATATATTGCAGTATGATCATCCGTAACTTTACAGCACCCCATAATCCTATTGTTAAACAGAAGAAAAAGAAATACTGCTTTTGTTCTTTTTTAATCCATTTACACTCTGAGTAATCACTTCTTATCTTATGTCTTTTTAAATACACAGAAGTCATATACATAATCTATTTTAGAGTTTTGATAGAATTAGCACTGACAGTTTTGCATTTAATTTCTCTTAGAGCTTATTCTGGACT